AAGACGTACGAGGAGGAGGAGGAGGAGGAGAAGAGCGAGAGAACAGAGAGCACGAGCGGCGTTTTCAAAATGTTGTATACATATACACGCATGTACAAACACGTGACGCGTATATACACGCGTGTTACACGGACAATGCGTTTTTCCGCGACATACATTCACACACACACACATACACATATAGATATAATCCAATCGCGGTAATATCGACTTTGCATTCAAAGTTTCTATTTTTTTCTTTGGAGCAATTTTTTTTAATCGAATTCAAAAACACACATGGATACATACATACACACACACGTACGTATTCTCCCTCCGATGGCGATGCTTTTTTGTTTTGCACGTGGAAAGCTTTCTTTCGTTACTTAATATCGTGTAGAAAGAAGAGAAAAATGAAACGATGGAAGAGGAAAATTTATTATATACGGAGAGAACAAAGGAGAGCGAGGGGAATTAATAATGAAAGGGAAATAAAATAAAAAAGAGTAAAATAAAATAAAATAAAACGGAAGTACGAGATGGAGGGGCAGAAGATCGATGTTCGCGGGATTAAAAGAAAGAGAAATTTAAAAAAAAGGGGGGGAGAAAAAATGAGAATAAATGGAGCAAACTGAAAGGCGGAAGTTGAAATCGAAATAGGAGGCGGCTCGTGGTGAGTTTGTTGAATTTTTGGGAATTCGAACGATCGCGTCACGGAACAACTCGTTATAGCTCGTTTTCGACTGAGAGCACTTTCTTTTCTTTTTTTTTTATTGCTTACAAGAAAAGAGGAAATAAAAAGAAAAAAAAAGAACCCACGAGAGATATCGTACGTGTTAAAAATTGAAAAAAAAAAAAGCAAGGGCTGAATGAAAAGATCGAACGATCGATGACGAACGAATTAGGTATATGGGAGAACAAAGAAAAGGAAACTAATAGAAATACAATTCTGAGTGCCACCTATACCGAATAAAACTGCAATGTCCTTTATACAGACAACCAAAAAAAAAAAAAAAGAAAAAAAGAAAAAAAAGAAACAAATTAATAAATAAATATATATAAAAGGAAATTGACGAGAAAATATGGGACAAGCGAGAAAATGGGGAAAATTATTAATATGAGAGAGAATTTAGATAATTACTAATATTATATTATTATTATGATCATTCTTACGATTATTATTATTATTGTTATTATTATTATATTATATTATTATATTATTATTGCCATAAAGTAGGGAAGAAACGCAAGCGCGATGGGGAGGAGGCGAAGATTATAGAAAATACCGATGGTATGAAAATGGTTGACAAAAAAAAAAGAAAGAAAGAAAGAAAGAAAGAAAGAAAGAAAGAAAAGAACAAGAGAAAGAAACAACAATTGCCTGCGCAATAACGGTATATATATGTGTATATACATGTTATACGTACATTTGCTCGTGTACGTATATACACTAGTGCCGTGTGTATGCGTATACACGTTGTAAAAAAAAAAAAAAAATTTTTTACAAGATATATCTCGAATATTAATTGATAACTTCTAAGCGTACGTTGGTTTCTCTTCCTCACTTTTCGTTCTCGACCTCCCGAGTGTTTACTTTTTTTCACCCCCGTTCGGCGATTTATCACGCAATGATAAGGGTGGAAAGCGATGATCGATGATTCTCGATCGTTCTTTCTTATACGATAATCCGTTTTCTTCTGAGAGCGAGCTGACAACTCTAGAGAAGATTTTTCTTCCCACTTTAAGATATTATTATTATTATTTTGCCAATGAGAGGATGTCGAGATTCAACACGATTGCTAAAAGGAAAAAAAAAAAAAATTCTTGACAATAATTTGGAAATTAATAATTTGATTACTCGATATCGAAATATTGATCGATATCGTCACATATCACTTTGAAGAATGAAAAATCGAAGATTGAAACTTTCTTTGTTGTCGATCGAAACGAGTTATAATAGAAATGAACGAAATGTATGTAAATTTAAAAAAAGGAGAAAATATAGGTCGTAATAAGGGACAAGTGTGGAAAGGAAGAAAAGACGAAGGGATGAAAAGAAAGAAGTTTGCTCGATCGAGGATCATCGATCACGGATTCGTTCTTTGCTCAGTATTTTAGGCTGTAAATGATACCGATACATTCGATGTAACGATTAAATGAAATCGTAGAGTTACTTTGTAACGAGAGAGGAGCAGCGGCGCAGCGCTAAAGAGAAGCAGCTTTTTAATTACAAATAGCAATTATCTTTGATTATTACCAGTAGTACACGCAGCACACGTGGATTTTCGCACTTAGGTACACGGCGAAACGAATGCGGATTTATTGTTCTTTATAGAAAAAAAAAAAAAAAAAAGGAAAAAAAAAATAAAAAAGAATAATGGATGTTCAGAACATGGTCCAAAAAAGAGGACAACAGTGATCACAAAAAGAGAGAGAGAAAAAAACAAAAACAATAACTTTTATTCGTTTCTAAAATTAATATTCATATCAGTGGAACATTCGTTACGAATCTTTTCTTTTTTTTTTTTTTTTTTTTTTTTTTTTTTCTTTAAACAAAATCGATGAAAATTGTTTCCAACGTTTTCGCGACGATTCAATGATTCTGAAAATCGTTCTGCGACGAGATATGGAAAAGTTTATTCGAAAAGATTAATTATTTCATTTCGAATGATTTCGAAATCGAAGAAACGACGCTTAATTTTAATCCAAGTGTGATGAACGATGAATGCACAACGATAAATAGAATTTTTATTTCTAAGGAATCAGCTTGTCAAACGTCGAAAGTGTCTACATTACCTGTTCATTTTCAAATCGTTGATCAATGTATCTGTCCAAGAATGAAGAGAAAAAAACAGTAAAAAATTCTCTTATGTTTCTTAGATCCGATTTTTCTTTACCAGTCGTTAAAAAATATAGCATATCCGACGATATTTCGATAGATCGAGTCACTGCTGTTCTCGAAATCTACGCGAACCGATCTATGTGAAGATGCGAGACGAGAGCTCTTAGTATTTCTTTTAGTATTTCTTTTTTTTTTTTTTTTTTTCCCTCCCCCCTCGAGAAATGATAATTTCCTCCCGCTTGGGTTGAAAAAAAAAAAAAAAAAAAAAAAAACGATAGAGAAAAGAAAAGAGCCGGATACCAAAAGACGTCCATTGCATCATTCCCTTTGGAGGATAATTTCGCGATAATTATTGATTAATAATTTCAGATTCAAACTTCGTACATCCTTTTGAACATCGAATTTTTGCGAAGATTTTTTAGGATAAACACGAGTGAATAATAAATACCCATCGACATAATTCGAATACATCTTCGACGAATCGAAACGTAAAAGCGTTGTAAATTTGAAAATTTTTTACTCGCGACGACGCGAAAGATGCATTTATTCGTTTCCCCGAGAGAAATATATTCGACGACGCGTAACTTTGTTAAGTGTTTGACGGGATTTGATGAACTCTTTTCTATGTTGAATAACTGATAGATGAAGAATTTCGAAGGAAAAAAGAAAAAAAAAAAAAGACAACTGTTCAGTAGGAAGATCGACTCGATGATGCAAAAAAAAAAAAAAACGCGATTCACATCAGAGATCCGCTCTTTTTTTCTGACCGCAAGAATATCAAAATCGAGAGAAGCAAAAAAAAAAAAAAAAACGCGATTCACATCAGAGATCCGCTCTTTTTTTCTGACCGCAAGAATATCAAAATCGAGAGAAGCAAAAAAAAAAAAAAAAAATAAGAAGAAAAATATACTTCACCTTCCGACAGGAAGTTTTCAACGTAAGTTTTCGCTTTTAAAGTGTTAACATCTGTTCGAATGTTAAACTTCTCAATTTTTCAAATTAAAAGGAAGTAACGAATCGAATTTAGGAAGTATCGAACAAAATTTACATGGAATCCCATCGATTCCAGGAAAGAAGTTTGCAACGCTTCTATCCTAACGCAATCTAACGACGATAAGAACAAGAAACAGAGAAAGAGGGAAAACTTGCGTTACAAACTTTTGAACGAACGATCAAATCGATATGAAACTTCCCCAACGATCAACGAGAAACCCTCCCAAACTAGAATTCGAAGTATACTTCAAATTCCTTCAAAATCCACCGACTCTAATCCCATCTCGAGTTTCAAAAACATCAAAATTTCGAGATCAATCCTCTCTGAGCCAACTTCCTCCAGAGACTTACTCGAATCTTATCATCACTTCGTCCTTCTTCGTCGATCTTTTTCTCCCCTCGAACTTCTTTCTTTCTTTCTTTCTTATTTTCCCGCAACCCCCTTCCCCTCGCACGAACGTCCTTCTCGAAATTAACAATTTTCACTCTCGACTATTGTATTCGTATTCAAGGATAAATCGCTGGATCGACACGCGCGCAATCACACACATAAAAAAGAAAAAAAAGAAAAAAAAAAAGGATCGACACGTACACACCGAGTCATCGATCGATATAATTATAATTCGTATGCGAATGCGTATTGTAAAAGTATATTCGTTTTTTTTTTTTAATCGAAGCTGCCTCTCGCTTTTGAATTCTACCGCGGCCGACCGAGAGAGGGAGAGAGATAGAATAAATGGGGCGAGAGAAAAAGGGGTAGGGAAGGGATCGAGACGAAGGATCTTTGTTCGAGGTAGGATCCGTGCCAGGATCGACACGACGACAGGCTGTGCGACGGGATTCCGTCAAAGGGTGTTCCTCGATCGACGATTTCGACAAAAAATTCCAATTGCGAAATTGGAATTTTTTTTTTTTCTTTTTTCATTTTTTCTGTCTCTNGGGTCACGTTCGAGGGTAGATTACTCGAGGATCGATCGCAGAGGGTTGAAGACACTTCTTGAGTAATTCTCCGTGGGAGGGTTTTTGTAAAAATTGTTGAAAGTATATATTCATTGTTAGATAATATCGTGCGTATATTCCTTAATATAAATTTGTAATTTCCAAGTTTGTTTTAATTAAGGGAGGGAGGGGGGGGGTGGGGATTCGTAAAGTGGAATTTGTGATTTAATCCAATTTCG